ACTCCAAATTTTTCCCTTTGGCAGAGAGCTCATGCATTGTCCACTATAGAGGGTTATAGTGGCTATGGAGCTGAACAAGGTGAAAAGGTGATTGGATTTTTTTTTCTTCAAAATTATAGTTTTGTTAGGAAACTTTTGAATGGATATATTCTGTTTTTTCATGTCCTTAGTTTTATATGTTACATTTTAATTCGAGGAATTTTGATGTTGCTGACTAGCTAAAAATACTTGTACAAAATATGCGTATGAAATAAGATATACACTTTTTTTTGCCCCAAAGCTTCACGGCTTAAAAATAGGGAAACTGGTGTTGGTGTGAAAATGTCATCAAATATACAAGGATATAATAGACAGTCATGCATGGCTTTTTGGGCAGCATCAGGGTGGGGTATAGGACTACTGATTCGAGGATTTATACCAATTAATAATCGATTGAAGTTTTACCCTTGGGGCCACTTCATTCTGTCTCTTTTTAGGCTTTATATTATTTGATGTCAAATATAGATTGCACAGGATTTTTTTTTTCAGATGAGATTGCTTGCACAAATTATATTAAGGTGGTTAATCTAGAAAGCTCCTGGGATCATAGACTTTTATTATTTCTACTTCATCTTGATAATGATTTTGGAACTTGTCATTTTGTACAGCCACTGAGGGCTGCAATTGCTAAGACCTTCTATGGTGATTTGGGGATTGAGGAAGATGATATATTTGTTTCTGATGGTGCAAAATGTGACATATCTCGCCTACAGGTTTAATTTGCTTATGTTATAGTTTTGGATCTTTTCATTTTTATTCTTCCCCTTCCATAATTTAGTTGGATGAATGGGACTTTGCCTTTTAATATTCTCAGTCTTCTTTTCATTTGTGGCTCAGGTTGTTTTTGGGTCTAATGTTACAATGGCAGTGCAAGATCCATCATACCCGGTAATTTTGTTTCTCTGAGATGGTTGAGATTTTCACAATTTATTCTAGTTTGCGATTTAAAAGTTATCTTCAAGTATCTTTATCTTTGTTATATCTTGTAGAAGTTCTGTTAGGAAATTCTTCGGAAACATGCCACGTTCCTTTACCCATTTCATTGTTTCAAATTCTTTAAATTAATCTAATTTTTTAGGATTTTTTGGGTAATTTTAGCCATAGCGGACATTCATGCTTCTGTTTTGTGAGTGAATTGCAGAAATATCTGATGCCTAACACATGTATTTCGTCTGCTTTTGTATCCATTGGTGTTCCATGATAGCATTAGTGATTTTATTGAATGGTGATGAGGTTCATGGTTTGTCAAAGATGGTGGTTATTTGGCATGATGTTTTAGGATTATCCTGTACAACTTACATTGTAAATGCCAGAAGAAAAAAAGCTCTGTAAAGGAATTTTACATTATATTAGATAGTATTCTGTTTTGCATATCGTGTTGGATAGGCCTGTTTCATTGTTATAATTTCATTACAAGAAAGAAAGCATTTCATATAAATGCTATCTTGTTTTTATTCGCTTCAAATATTTGCTTGACTATTGAACTTTCTTCTTGAGCAAACAGGCTTATGTGGACTCCAGTGTCATTATGGGTCAGACTGAACATTTTCAGAAAGAGTTTGAGAAGTATCAAAATATTGAATACATGAGGTGTAACCCGGAGAATGGCTTCTTTCCTGATTTATCCACTACCGGCCGCACTGATATTATATTCTTTTGTTCGCCAAACAATCCTACCGGTTCTTGTGCAACAAGGGAGCAACTCACACAGCTGGTTCAGTTTGCTAAGAACAATGGGTCAATCATTGTTTATGATTCTGCATACGCTATGTATATCTCAGATGATAACCCTCGTTCCATCTTTGAAATTCCTGGTGCTAAAGAGGTAAATGTGCAGTTGGTTAGATGCTTTATCTTCCTGCACATTTTATCTTCCTTTTTCTTTTGTTGGTTTTGTCGAAGGTTGTGTCTTGTTCTCGTCAGAATGAGACCTATATATGATCCAATAACACTGTTTGGGGGATATTTGAAAATTTTGATCTATATTGTTCTTATTCCTACATGCATCTCTATTCAAATGGTTTCTAGACCCTATCCTGCTAACACTGATATACACCCCTGCCCCTTCCCCCTACCATGTTCTAAGGTTATTATGTGAACAAAACCATAGAGGCAGTTGGAAATTATTTTTTGTGACTCTTCATCCTTGTGATCGTAAAGGACATAAACGATCAATAGACTGAATGAAGATCTCATCTATGTATATGTAACTTCTTTTTGAGAAAAAATATCATCCGGATATGCACTGGTGTGAAGCATTGGCCTTACTTGGTGGCCATGCAACTCTTGCTATACTGTGGATCGGATTACTTCATCTCTTGTATATTTCATAAATTTGCTTGTCTATATTGTAGGTTGCGATTGAGACATCTTCATTTAGCAAGTATGCTGGGTTCACAGGAGTTCGTTTAGGTTGGACTGTGGTGCCAAAACAACTACTATTTTCGAATGGATTTCCTGTTGCCAAGGACTTCAACCGAATTGTTTGTACTTGCTTCAATGGCTCATCCAATATTGCTCAAGCTGGTGGTCTGGCTTGTCTTTCACCAGAAGGCCTTGAGGTGAGTATCTCAATGATTGGTCTTTTTTTTTTTGAAATAAATCGCAATGATTGTTTTAGAGTAGAGAATATGTAGAAAGCTCTCTTTTTCCTGCCCCCACCCCCATTAACAGCCATGTTAATGAGTTATTGTGAAAACCAGCATACTGACAGATTTCTTTACCTGTAGGCCATGCTGGAGGTGATTGGTTTCTATAAAGAAAATACCAAAATAATTGTGGATACATTTACTTCTCTTGGCTTTAATGTATATGGAGGTAAGAATGCACCATATGTGTGGGTCCATTTCCCAGGTCAAAGCTCATGGGATGTATTCAGCCAGATTCTTGAGAAGACGCATGTGGTTACCACACCTGGCAGTGGTTTTGGACCTGGCGGTGAAGGATTTATCAGGGTTAGCGCCTTTGGTCACAGAGACAATATTTTAGAAGCCTGCAAGAGATTCAAGCAGCTATACAAGTGAATTCTAGTGTTATCTGGTTAAAGCTTGTTTTATGGGAGAGAAAGCTGAAAAAGGTACTTGGTTTCATTTAAAAAAGGAGGCATGTCTTCTATTGAACACTTGGATATCGTTAGCTTTGTGATCTACGGCCAATTGATCTGAAGAATCTTAAACAATTCCATGTACTCGGTGCTTTTTTCTCTTCCTTAAAAAGGAAAATTACTTGATGCTGTTGTTCAACAAGGGATGACTCTTTAAGGAGAAAACCTAAAAGGAAATGCTTTGATGGATTCTTAGGTGCAAAAAGTTTAAGAATCTTGGATATTAAGTATAGATAATTTTAGTAAATTTAATTGAAATACAATGCATAACCAAGTTGTTGCATCTATTTGTTTATATGTATATTTATTGCAAATTGTAATATTTAAAAATAATTTTTAAATCATCAAAAAATTTAGACTTAAGTTCAAGGTTTTACAAATTAACGCTTTCATTATACTTTATCAAATTACACCGTTTATCGCACTTGGTATTCTTGTCTCTGTCTTTCTTTTACAACTTACATTAAATGACTCCTTCACCCATGATTAACAAAAATCAGAACCTGCATGCATCTCCTTCAAACCAAACGCCCTACATCCAGGATATACTACTGCAGTATTTTCTTCCAGATGTCCTGTGTTGTAATGGCGTTTGTCAGCAGCATGCTGCAGCAATAGCTTAGCAGATGGTATAACAGAGATCCGGCAAACGAAAAACAAAAGATAAAAGCAACACTCCCATGTAACACGCAATTAAAATGTCCAAAAGGTCATTCCAATTACACATACATTCTAAAGAACTTGGAAGTTCCTTTGTTACATAATCTGGACAATAAACATCTGCACGATGATAGACAAAAATCTCCTGGTAGTCTACAGATACAAACTAGATGTCTAACATGCTAAAACTGTTCAATACCATTCATAATCTCTG